CCGCAATAACACACAAGCATTTATGGAAACAAAGTTTACTGAGGAAGACTATCAGTATATACATAAACTTGGACGAGAGGCAAATGGGGAGGAGAAGAAAAGGCGCAATGAACTTACTGATTTCCGTGACCAACGACAAGCAAAGAAAACTGCACGCAAGGAGGTTCAGGAGCAAAATGCAAAGGCAACTGCAGAACGGATTGCACAGTTGGAACTTGTTTTTGACAAGGAAAAGGTCCCAGGACTCAAGGGCACGTCCCTCAAGGACCAATTGAGACTCTTCAAGAGTGCAGGTGCTCCAAATCTCAAGCAAGGGCCAATGCCAACCAAAGTTGCTGATATCCGCAAAGCACTTGTAGATGCTATTGATCTGCATACAAATGGTGCTTGGAAGCTCATCCAATATGAGGAGAGGAAGAGGAGGATGAGGAGGAAGAGGAGGATGAGGAGGAGGGTTGGGAGGATATAGAGGGCTATGAGAGTGAATGAGATGTTGCCAGAAAACTGCATTTTCTTTGGATATTTTTCATGTTTAGCATTATTACAACACTTTGAAATTTGAATGTATAAAGTAGGCTATTGTACAACTATTCTACAAAAGAAAAACTAAGGGAAGTGATCACAACTCATTCTGGAATTGGATCAGTGGCTGTGCAGCACCTATTGGCCCAAGGTTGCCTCCTCGAGCTATGAGCTTCACAACTTCATTCAACAAGATATCGGGATGATGGTCACATGGCCAATTACCAAAAATAGCCAAAAATAAAAGCTATAGCTCTACACTGTAGCTTACTGAATCTGTATGAAGTATGTTCAAAAGTGCTCCCATTGTGCAGATATGAGATAAATGAGGGGGAGTGGTGGTGTAGTGGCACCACTGCTCACCTCTTGGTGCACTCAAGCCAGGAGGTTGGGGGTTCAAACCCTCCACAAGACCATTCCCAGACTACATGTTGACACTGGGGATTTTCGCTGCTACTATTGACACCTGGGAGATCGTGGGATTAGGGAGGATGTGCTGGACACTCAGTGATATTAGCCAGGTGCTGCAAAGGCTGGAATGCTGTCTTGTCATAGATGGGAGGCATGGGATGTTGGAACCATCCCTCAGGGTTGCCTCTTTGGGAAAGTGGGACTGTGGTCTCACCATGTTGGGAGTTCTCTGGCGATGGGACCAGTGATGGAGTGGCGGTGCAGTTGCTGGAAGGAAATCACTCCAAAGTTAAATAAACCAATACAACAAACTTAACCAGTTGCAGGCCAGGTTCAATACTGTTCTATTCTTGTATCAAGAAAACCTTCATTGACCTAGGAGATGTATCGGAATGTAAAAAGATATCATGGGTGCCAACAGCATGCATGGATATTACAGGTGCCATGTTGTTTCTAAGGCTGAGGGTCATGCCAAGAATGAATAGTCAGGAAACACCTGGACCTTGGTCCCAAGATGTGGTCATCAAAGGGGAGCAGTAGTTATGTAGTTTGTATACTTTCATGACATTCTCTGGGATATAGTTGATACCTTGGGCTTGGCTCTTGACAGACTAGGTCCCAACACTGTTAGGTGTAAGTCCCTACCCTATGGCATCAGGGGTTTCTGGGTGCTATGGACTAGATAGGGATAAATAATAAATTCCCCAACACAGATAGAATTTGGAACTGGGGGTATTACTATACATGGGGTGCAGGAACTGAGGTCTTTACCTTCTCTGGGTTATTCTGTATGGATTCCATGTGGAATCCATGTAATCTATGAAGAATTGAGAATTGAACCCTTGCATTATCATGTGGCCAACACAAAGAGTGCTCTTCCCACTGCACTATGTAACTGTTTAAAAATGTTAAAATAAGGTCAATAGATATTAATATTGTTATTTTCTAGCTACACCCGAAGCTCAATTTGTTGTCCTCAACAATCAACAAACAATCAACAAATGTTCCATTCCAACCACCACCATTGATGCAAGAGAATATGCATCTGGAAAATACTTCACAGGAAGAAAAAGACTTTGCACCCTGGCTTATTGAAATTGGGCATAGGAAGCATACAAATGCAGGGGGTTCTACTCTTCTGCCAGAAAGAATGAAATGTGGGAGTGATGTTGCATCTCTAATTAATGCACTCTATCCTGGCCTAACCACTTTGTCTCAAAATGCAAGTAATGTCCAGTATTTCCTTGATCAGACCATTTTAACAGCTCGGAATGATGATGTTGATGATCTCAACAAAACTATACTTCAACACATGTGCGGAAATGAATTAACATTTCACTCTGCAGATTCTATTATGAGAGAAGGAGGTGTAGATGGTGAATTTGAATATCCAGTAGAATACCTCAATTCCATCAACCTTAGTGGAATGCCTCTAGCAAAATTGAAACTCAAGATAGGTGCACCAGTGATGATCCTTCGAAACATTGATCCAGCAAATGGACAATGCAATGGAACCCCTGCAATCCTCACCTGTGCCTCTTCCCATGTTTTAGAAGTATGCATTCTGGGAGGAGAATATGCAGGACACACAGCATTCATTCCCCACATAAAATTTAAGCCTTCAAATGGTGAACTTCCATTCCAGTTATGCCAAAGGCAATTTCCTGTTCGCCTGGCTTTTTGCATGACAATTAACAAATCCCAGGGACAGTCAGTCAAACATTTAGGACTGGATGTTCAGACCCCAAAGTCACATTTAAACAAATATTGTATTGTGAAATGACAACTAAATACAGAAAGATATTTTACTAATGTAATGAGGGAGAGGGAGGGAGTGGTGGAGTGATGGAGGGAGTGGTGGAGTGATGGTGGGAGTGGAGGAGTGATGGAGGGAGTGGTGGAGGGAGAGAGCTATGGAAGGAGGGGGAGTGAGTGAAGTGAAATGATGGAGAGGGGAGGGGGTGAGAGAGGTGGAGAGAGGAAGGGAGGGAGGAAAAGAGGGAGGGAGGGAAGGAGGGAGGGAGAGAGAGAGGGAGGGAGAGAGAGAGGGAGGGAGGGAGAGCGGGAGGGAGGGAGAGAGGGAGGGAGGGAGACAGGGAGACAGGGAGGAGGGATGCACTGAGTTGTCATTTTGTGGGCACCGAGTCATTGCACACATAGGCGGGCTGCTTTTCGTGGGTGGCGGTTGTTGTTTGTGTGTGCTGGGTGTTTTTCGTGGGTGGCAGTTGTTGTTTGCATGGGCGGCGGCTGTCATTTGTGGGTGCTGGGTGTTTTTTGTGGGCGGTGGGCATCGTTTGTGGGCGCTGGGTGTTTTTTGTGGGCAGTAGTTGTCATTTGTGGTGGTGGGTGTTACGGTCGTCATTGGTGGGTGGGAGGGGGTCATCGCTGTCCCTTGTCTTTCTTGTTTGTCATGTCGGTGGGCACTCATGGTTTGTGGGTGGTTGTCGTGTCCATGGGTGGGGTCATTGTTGTGTGATTGATGAGGCAACGGCAGTGACAAGGCAACGTGTACGTGGTGGGTGAGCAAGAGGGTGGTGATGGTGGTGTTGTCGAGTGTTGTTGGGTTTGGGCAAAATTCCCACTTGTGGAATTCACCGACATCCTTTCTAGGTTAAAGTGCTTGATATGAAGTATTTGCCACTCCGTCTGTAAGGTTGAGAGTTCAATTCTGTCATGTTGTGCTTTTTTTGTATTATATAATAACAACAACAGTGACAGACTGTTGGTCCCACTGGGCTCCCTGTCCCTGGAAATTCCTAGTAAACTCCTCCTGGACTCCTTGTACTGGACTCCACTATACCCATTCTTTAAAAATCCAGCAGAATTCCACAATTCCTGGTGGTTTGGGATCATTCCAGTAGGAGTTTACTAGGATTCCACTAGGACTAGGGTACAAAATTTGTATGGTGATCAGCCAGCATGAAATTTGTCCCAGTCCTAGTCCAGTCCAGTAGGATTCCAGGAATCCAGTAGGAGTCCGGTAGGAATAGGTGGGGGAGAGTAAAGAGGTCCCGTCATCTAAGCTGTCCACATGGGTCTCAACTGGAAACTTCCAAACCATGGCCCTCCCCAGCCAAGGCCCAGGGTCCTCCGTCATCCAGGCACCAGCTGCAAAGGCAGCCTTGTACTGGGAATAGTAATTGGGAAAGGCGACCTTGAAGCATTCACTGAGGTACAAGGCAACAGATCTACTGCCCTCAAAATATCACAAAACAGCCATTTGCCCTTTGCATGACTCCCAGCCATGTCCCACAAGTGGGTCATGGGATCATTCTAATTGAAACAGGGTTAGCGCCCCAATGGCCAGGAAATTTAGGATACAAACAGGATGGCCTTGTTGATGCCATGCGTGGACAAGATGTGTCACCCCCATTCTTTCATCCCCCATCTCCTCAGCTGACCCCATGCCATCCCTAATATATTCCACATCTTCAGGGCAATCAGGGGGGGGCTCGAGACTGTAAGCCATAACACTTTGGTTGGGATGCTGGATATCCCCTTTTGTTGGTGTGAGGGGCCAAAAACTGGTGAAGTTCTTGTGCACATTGGTGATATCTCCAAAGCATGTTGCTCTGTGATTAGGCAGTGAGGGGCCGAAGATACTGTCAATGCCGCTTACTTAGAGGAATTCCATCCCAGTGCTGGTCTTCAGACTTAGACGCTTGAACGTCCTTCAGCATCCGTTTATGGGGTCCAGGGTAGGCGGTCTGTATTCATGTTAAGCGGCATCATCCAAAAAATTACTTGACTTACCCTTTCCCCCCTGCCTTTTCTTTCCACTGTAGCCTGGTCATTCATCTGCATTCTGTGGGAAAAGACACATGCCAAGGTCTTCCCAGTTTTGTCCATGAATTTTGCAGAGCAGGCATCTGCTTTGAGGTCCTGCATCCCAGAGATGATAGTGTTGGCCTTGTCGACATCTTTGTCACAATTTTTGGTTCGTTCCATAAGGTCAGTGAGTGTGATGTGGGAGAGAGTATAGGTGGGAGCATATTTCAACCACAGATTGGCGGACCTTTCAGCAGACGCATAGCAGCCTTCTCCTGTGACTCAGAAGAGCAATTTTTGGCCCTTTGTCGCCCCACAGGGGGGTTCAATTCATCAATGTTGGGCAAGGGCACAGGAGGCTGTCTCTGCTAGAGTTGTGAATACCCAAGAATCAAGGAAGAAACAAGCCGCTGACCAGGTTCAACCTAATGGCAGAACACTGCTCTCCGCCTTTAGACACAGTTGGGAGTGAAGATAAGACAGCCTCATACCTTTTTAACGACACTTTTGAAATTCCTTTACCTCATATCTCCACAACAGGAGCACTTTAGAACATAATTCAAACAGATTTGGGAAGCTACATAGTAGGGCTACAACTTTCGTTTTTGACCATTTTTGGTAATTTGTCATGTGACCATCATCCCAACAACCCATTACATGGACCCTGATAGGTCAAATCATTCTTGTCTTGGTTTCTTCACTTTTAGTCAAACCAGGTGATATTTCCCTTTTGGGATGGACCCTGACTGCTTGTGTTCAAACGTTCAGCTCTGCTGAGTGGCAGATATGAGGAGATTTCAAATCCAAGTTTTTTGATGATCCCATTCCTATGGAATGACCCCGTACTTTTTCATAAATGGCAAATTTTGAACATATTCTATCTGAAGAAGGCAATCTTGCCTTGGGTAGTAATTTGGCTAAAGTTCATGCCTTTGCAATAAATAAAGTCTTGCAAAATTCTTGTTTTCCTTCAGAGCCCATGCCATTGTGATGGATACAACATTAATTTATTTGTCATGAATATAAATGGCCTGGCAAGATATGCACTTTTAAGTGGCTTGTGATGGATTATCCACAGTGAAAATGGCCAAACTCTGGGATAAAGCCCAATCAAGCTAATTTTTAAGTGAAATTTCAAAGGATCAAGTTCATCCTATAGCCTCCACTTGTAGCTTAAAATGTCATGTCAGAAGAAATTTGAAGAACTATTCCACAAAAAATGGAGCCCAATGGATCAGTATTGCAGCCTGGAGAAATAATTTTCATATTTTGTAAAAAGCACCTCAGACACCCTGTGACAGCTATGGAATGATGGTATGGTACAGTATGGTATGGAATGGTATGGTATGGAATGGAATGGAATGGAATAGAATGGTATGGTATGCAGTGGAATGGTATGTGGCATCCATACCATGGTATGATGGAATTGGTATGAGGGTCATACCACTCTGGAATGGGGTACCACTAAGGTTCCCTAATTCAAAGAATTGGATAACCTCATAGGTACCCAAAAATGGGTGGTTGAAGTGTATCCAGAGCCAAAATGTATTCAGTGGTGTGACAGGCAAGTTTAAAGAAGTATCTACAGCATTGGTCCTTCTTTTCTGGAAGAAGAAAAAATGCTACCATCCTTTTGAGTCAATCCATGGAGACTTGGGATGTCTTTTAAATGATGCCTAAAGTATGGCATGATACTAAATAGATTGTCACTGGGTATAACTTGAAAAGTCCCTAATAAAAGTACATTTTGCATACAGCAATCATCCTAGACCAATCCTTGACATTTTTCTTGGTGAGTTGGGGCTGAAAATATTTCACAAGGCACTTCTCATGCCTACTAACAAATCCTAAAGAAATAAACAGAGGTCCTATTGGACAAGGATGTGAAACCCCCACACCTTTCTTGCTCTATGCAAAATGTATTTTTATTGGGGACTTTTCAAGTTATACCCAGTGACAATCTATTTGCTATCATGCTATACTTCAGGCATCATTTAAAAGTGCCAACTGTCCATCACATCCAAGTCTGAGGCCATGTTCACCAAGGTTCAAACCAAGTTCAATTGTTGCTGGGCACAGCAGTCAGGTTGGCACATGATGACACCAGATATGTCATCATGCTCTAAAAATTGACACCTCCCACTAATAAAACTTGATGACCTGCAACCTATTTCTTTGGTGTGCACATGCTGGTCTGACACTTGGCTAAGAGAGTCCCCCAGGCCCATTACATTCACAAATACACCTGCATAGAAAGGGTTTTTGCCCAGAAAGAGATTGCAGGCAGTGAAGACATGGATGAGAGTGCTGTTGGGATGGATGAGGATAGTGGTAGTGGTGAGGTGGTGATGGAAAGTTCTGTAAAGGTGGAGAGTTGGAGTTATTCTGAAGCAAAGGTGACCTTGGTGGAGTGGCTTCAACATGGGGGAGGTAGCAGTCTGTATTTTGGGGCAAAGAGACTGTTAGTTCCTCCATGGGTAAATGGGGAGATGATGGTTGTACTGGAGACAACTGAATAGGGGTGAATAGTGAATCTCTCTGAAATGGCATCCAGCCAGATGAACCGTTGTTCTCCAAAGGCAATTGTGGAGGGGTTCAAATGCAAAGGTAATTGTGGTAAGGGCTGGTGCTGAGGAGTAGGAGTATGTAAGATGGGCTTGGTGCATACTGATATCTTTGCACCACTGGCATGTGCATTCTGGATGTGAATCATCAGAGTTCTGATGTCAGGAAGGGCTGTTGTGCAAGCATAGCAGGGCATATTTGATGTTTCAGAAGGTCTGTGACAGACGGCAAGGAGAGCAGCAGAGTCTCTAAGAGAGAAGGAGGCTGCCAGGCAGTGAACATTGCTTTCATGGGTAGACTGTTGACGAAGGCGTGAGTGTGAGATGGTGGTGGAGAAAATCCGGGGTATGTGGGAGAGGGTTCATAACATGGAGCCGCGAGCCAGTACCATGTTGAGGTTATCCTGTGACCCAGGACATGGGGTGCGGTCACATGGCGGAGGACTCTGGTATCCTGGAGGGGAGGTGTATGGCTGCCTAGCCATATAAATAACCCCCTATAGGGGGACAATAAAGACCTCTACAAAAATGAATAATGCACTACAAAAGTCAGAAATAGACTACAAAGTTTACTAATGGGCTATGACACATAGTGTTTAAAGGTTCAGTTCAGTCCGGTTTTTTGCCCCAAAAACGCGCAACCGTGGACCGCAACCGGTCCAGGACCGAACCAGATATTGAGGGAACCGAACCGAACCACCTAGGACCGGTCTTTTGCGGTCCATGATACCGGTTCAGACCGATCCAGACCGGTTTTTTTGCGTATAATTTATTATATCAATATAAACCATTTGTATCTCAACCATGATTACTCTGAAAAATAAACGGGTTATATAAAATAGTAAAGCATATAAATACCCGTCATTCTACCAATTTTCAAGAGATTTAATGAAGATTTGACATAGCTATGACTGAAACTGAATTATATCTCCTAGAGACTTGGGTAAAATATGGATTTGGTTATATCTTTCTCAATTCTTAACCGTTTTTGATGAAACAAAAACCCAATAAAAGGCAATAAACGTGGTTACAAGGCTATGTAACGCACGTGACCGTTTAACCGGTTGCAACCGATTAAAACCGGTCTTTGAACGGTTTTCAAAGATTTTCGAAATGAGGCAACCGGCAACCGGACCACCCCCAAATTGGGGCAACTGCAACCGAAAAAAAGACCGGACCATGGTCCGGTTCAGTTCGGTCCACCGGTTTTTTGCGGTCCTATGGACTGAACCTTTAAACACTAATGACACATTTCAAAAGTTGGACATACAGATGAGTGCAAAATGAATGAACCATGGGTGATTTTCTGGTTCTTTCTGAATATGTATTGTGGTCTAAATGTAGTTGTATTACACTAAAATGGCTGGTGTGCCACCCATTTTATGAGTCCTGTGAGAGTGTATTCCTGAGGACTGGAGACAGTCCTGAGGATTTTCAGACAGGACTAGTCCCAGGATTGATCCAAATGATAAGTAACATAATTGGTCATGTGATTGATTTCAGGGTCCAGAGCACATCTCCAAATACAGAAGGTATGGCTATGGATTATGAAAAATCAGAGTAACTGTTGGCAGTCAGGAATGCTGCCTCCCAATTCTCCTTCCTCTCTGATGGAAGGATGCAGCAACCTTCCACCAGTGGCATCCATATTGAAGAAACAGGTTCAACCTCTAACATTGCCTGCCATATCTGACTAACAGTAAGGAGCTTAACAGCAGCCTCAGTTAGGAGGTCCAGCCAGCTGGGGAATCTGCAGCGATTTCCATATAGGTATAGTTCATTGAGCACAGTTGGGACATCTGAAAATAGTTGGGGGAATTTGTCATGGAAGATGGCCTGAGAAACTTGACAGGCAAGTAAAGGAGTTATTCTGAGGCCAGTGAGCTTCTTCATTAGCCTTCCTGTGCATAATGCCACGTCACGTCCACTCCATGCTCTCAAAACATGCCCTTCCAAAGGTATGGAATGGGCCCAGAGAATGCTTGAATGATAAGAAAAATCACGATTAAGGGCTTTTAAGACATTGCATGCAACTGGCCGGATGAAGTAGAGGTAAACCGCAATGTATGAGAACAACTTCTTGGGAAAGGCAACAGGTGTTGGCACAAATTCTCTGTTGCACTGTTTTGCCTTGGGGTGGGTAGCAATGAAGGTGTTGTCCACAATCCAGACATTCCGGTCCATCAATTCTGAACAATCAAAGCGAACAGACGATAACTGCCACCCACAGAAGCTAACACCAGTGGAGAGGACAAGGATATTTGCCAGGGAGTCAAGGGCCATTTGCTCTTGCTCCAACCAACAGTTGGCTTGATGAAGGTCAACTTGGATTTCACCATCTATCACAGATATATGGTCAAAAACCAACTTCCTCAGCTGACTTTGTATGGGGCCCATCCACCTGAGGTTTTGGACTTGTTGATGGGGTGCAAGTCTGATCCCGACATCCTTGATTTCATGTGTCAACCTTGTAGAATTCTCAATGAAGTCAGCATCTGATATTGCCAGAGAAAGGACGGTGTCTCGAAAATTGGTGTCTGCTTCTTTGCATGCTGCAGCCCAAGTGTGCATATCAATTTGCTTCAGGGGAGCTCCTAGCCTCCCAAAGCTCCACAAATGGCCATCCCCTGATGAGTTGAATTGCATTGAGCCAGTTTCCTCACGAGTGTATCAATTGACTTTGAGCCAAACATAGTGAAGGCAGGAAAATGGGGTTGAGCGACCCCCTGTGGGCCTGATTGTCAGCCACGGCTCTTCTTCGTTTATGAGGCTAAAAGAATTTCCTATGGTTAGTCTGCGCTTGAGTGGATGAAAATGAAAATCACTTGCAGGATGACCAATTGTGAATTACTGGTGGCAGCCTGTTCTGGGGAGGGATTGTCATGGTCAGTCGAGTGTTGATCAATGTTGCAATCTTGGCAGTCTAGAGAATGGAATATTAGCAAGGGGTGATGGTGGAGGAGAATAAATTGAGCTCACACGTGTAAACCTCATTCATGGTTTTTTCCAATAAAAGCTCATTGTCAATGTCTTCATGTGGATCCTGTTCATCCTTGCTGTCTTGTATAATATATTCTTCTTGAAATACATCCACATTGAGATTTTCATCTTCAGAGTCATCTGGATGAGTGGGTGCTTCTTCAGCAAATTCTGTGTTCAAGACATTGGCATCGGTTTCCAGTGGCTTTGTGGCACTTCAGTCACCCACTGACCACTGACTATTAGTCATGTAATTTCAGTATATATTACATGACTAATAGTAGTACTGTATTTATTTATTGTACTGAATATATCCAGAATCTTTACTGTATCTGTTTTCTTAAAATGTCACAAAATCAGCTGTCACACTATTGAATCTATTTTTTTGCACTAAATAAATCTTTTTGGTGCCAAGACTCTGAATTAAATTTATTTCATAGTTTCACTACTGAATCTATTTTTTTGCACTAAATAAATCTTTTTTGATGCCAAGACTCTAAAACAAATATATTTCATGGTTTCACTACTGAATAAATCTTTTTGGTTAACATGTCACAAACTTGCCTGTCACACCACTGAATACATTTTGGCTCTGGATAGACTACTAGAGGTGTCTGGGGTCCTAGTTCCAAAGAAAAGTGTGTTATGATTTTTCACTAGTAGAGGTATTATTGATAAATTTCTTTTTGTTTGTAAATGCTTTCCTGGGGCTGTAGGGTCCTACTGTTTTCAGGATCCACTGCCCATTGCCAAATATGGAAGGTGTGGCTATGTTAAATGAAAAATAGCAATAAAATACAGGGAACAATGATGAGTTTAGGGTGTTGCTCACTGTTGGTGATGATGTTGGGGGCAGTTTTCAGGGTCCATGTAATGGGATGTTGGGATGATGGTCACATGACCAATTACTAAAAATGGTGAAAACGAAAGTTGTAGCCTTACATTGTAGCTTCCCAAATCTGTTTGAATTATATTCTGAAGTGCTCCTGTTATGGAGATATGAGGTAAAGGAATTTCAAAAGCATCGCATTTTCTTTTGTTTTTTGTGTTTTTCTCTATGAAAACAAACCAAACAACATGATTTCAGTATATTTAGAAAGCTAAGAGAAAGGGCTTACAGTAAAGATTCTGGATATATTCAGTACAATAAATAAATACAGTACTACTATTAGTCATGTAATATATACTGAAATTACATGACTAATAGTCAGTGGTCAGTGGGTGACTGAAGTGCTCAAATACCACATCATCATAATGGATGCAGTATTAATATGTATCAATAAATGGCTTTTGATGCATGGAAAAAGCTGGGATAAAGCTCATTTGAACTGATTTTCAAAAGATGGATTTGACTATGTAGCCTCCATTTGTATCTTAATATCTCAGGAAAAACCTGAAGAACCTTTCCACAAAAAAATGACACCCAATGGACCAATATTGCAACCTGCAGAAAGAATTTATATATTTTGAAAAAGGACCCTGTGACAGCTTTGCTATGATGGTATGGTATGGTATGGTATGAGGTGACATGGTATGGTATGGTGACATGGTATTGGTATGATTGGGATATGGTATGGGTTTTCCATTCTGTAGCACCATGGTATTGGTATGGAGCTCATATACCACTCTGGAATACTCAAGGTACACTAAATCAAGGAATTGATGTACCTCATAGGTACCCAAACATGGGTGACTGAAGTGGCCTTGCAAGCAACAAATTTAGAACAAGAGTCAGGCAGCCATTTCAACTCCACTACAATTAGAGAAGCAGCCTCAAGTGCATGTTCAATTATAGAGCTCTCAATTGACACAGCAGTCAGATTAGGAGCCTCCAGTGCAATCATGGAGATCTCAGTAGTCAGATCAGATTCGATCATGGAGTACCCAGCCAAAACAGCAGTAGGTTCAATCATGGAGCCCCCAGTCAAACCAACAGTCAGATCAAGATGCTCAAGTGTAGATTCAATCATGGAGCCCTCAGTCAGATCAACATCCATGTGTTGCTCACCATCAGAACTTAGCCCTGGAGAATGCTTCTCATCTCCACCTGTATCTACTTCCTGCTCCTCCCACTCCTCATCACCCTGGTCCTCCCCCTCCTCATCACTATCCTCCTCATCATCATTACTAACCTCCATCTGACCTTCCTGTAAACAGCTTAAACTTCTACTAGACCCACTCCCCATAGACTCATCCTCCCTCTCATGCTGTGGCTGTGGGCTGGTAGGTTGAGAGAAAGCGAGATGCACAAGTGGTGAAGGAGAGGGGAGCACACTGAAGTTTTCTGATGGCCTGAACAGCGATGCTGATATGCTTCTTGAGGGAGAAGGTGAGCCTAATGGCTTGGAAGGAGATGCTGAGGCACTTCTTGAAGGAGAAGGTGAGCTACTGATGTGTCACTCATATGGTGCACCTTGAGAGCTGATCGGAATTGAGAGTCAAGGTGTTCTTGGCCTTGTGGCTCAAACCTCAGGTGGTGGTGACAGCAGCAGGTGGAGGTTGAGAGGGTTCTGGTGATGCAATAATGAAAACGCCAGTGGTGGGTGGGAAAAGTTCATATTTAGTCAAGATATCATGTTTGGACAGAGAGTGTTTCTTGCTAAGATGCCCCTCAACTGCCCTCCAGGAGACTGCTGTAAAGTCATCGAAAAGGCATGATATCTCCTTATCTATTGCCGGCCTGACCGATCAACCAATCTCAGTGCCAGCACCCAGTTCTTAAAAAAAATAGAAAAAAGCTGATTGTTTGGAGATGGGGTAGCTGGTTGAAACACTCACTCTTTGAATTTACAACAACTATTGGAGTTAGACAGTGATTGTGCTTAAAATGCATCTCATAGTGCTTGAGGCCACCCTTTTCTGGTTGAATTGTGTGGTGGGGGCAAGCTGAACAACTTGCCCTGCCAATCGGGTCAGACAAGGGCTCAATGATTATGGGTGAACATATATGCCATCACAAAATTCAGATATCTGGTTGGTTAATTGCTTTGGCCAATGCCATTGCAAATAAACTTGGAGAAGATCGTACTTTATCCCTTTTCTTTCAACATGAATCACTTTTCCAGCATACTTGCAAAAAGCTCAATGATTTTGCCACTGCCTTATCTCTTTCTTCTTATGATAAGAAAGGAAATTGCATCTGTAAACTCCTTCTGGTATCTATGAAAGAAATACAACCAGCTCTTGTTATCTGCCCAAATTCTTTCATCTGTGGAACACTTTCATGTCAACCTCACTCTTTGCAGAAGGGTACTCAAGATTGTGATATACCTTTGGTGACATTTATCAAAGGCCACTCAATGTATGAGAATGTTCCTGTACTTACAGGAAAATGCCCTAGATGTGATACATTTTACTCTGCAGATCATGAATGCTACTAGTGTTTAAAGGTTCAGTCCATAGGACCACAAAAAACCGGTGGACCGAACTGAACCGGACCATGGTCCGGTCTTTTTTCCGGTTGCAGTTGCCCCAATTTGGGGGTGGTCCGGTTGCCGGTTGCCTCATTTCGAAAATATTTGAAAACCGTTCAAAGACCGGTTTTAATCGGTTGCAACCGGTTAAACGGTCACGTGCGTTACATAGCCTTGTAACCACGTTTATTGCCTTTTATTGGGTTTTTGTTTCATCAAAAACAGTTAAGAATTGAGAAAGATATAACCAAATCCATATTTTACCCGAGTCTCTAGGAGATGTAATTCAGTTTCAGTCATAGCTATGTCAAATCTTCATTAAATCTCTTGAAAATTGGTAGAATGACGGGTATTTATATGCTTTACTATTTTATATAACCCGTTTATTTTTCAGAGTAATCATGGTTGAGATACAAATGGTTTATATTGATATAATAAATTATACGCAAAAAAACCGGTCTGGATCGGTATGAACCGGTATCATGGACCGCAAAAGACCGGTCCTAGGTGGTTCGGTTCGGTTCCCTCAATATCTGGGTCGGTCCTGGACCAGTTGCGGTCCACGGTTGCGCGTTTTCGGGGCAAAAAACCGGACTGAACTGAACCTTTAAACACTAACTGCTACGAAGACTTGACCAAATTTTTTGCTCCAACTCAAATGGCTTGCCCAACATTGTCTTTCACATTGGTGGAGCAAGTGTTATATTTAAAATTAGAAGCTGTTATCCTCTCTGACATTATCTAGCCACTGGCCTGTATTTGCCCATTTTCACTTCAGTCACCCATTTTTGGGTACCTATGAGGTACATCAATTCCTTGATTTAGGGTACCTTGGGGGTACCCATTCCGGGGTGGTATATGAGCTCCATACCAATACCATGGTACCATGGAATGGAAAACCCATACCATACCCCACTCATATCAATACCATGTTACCATACCATACCAATACCATGTCACCATACCATACCATGTCCTGTTATACCATACCAGATGGTATGATGTCACTTCATACCATCATACCAAAGCTGTCATAGGGTGTCTGGGTCCGTTTCCAAAATATATAAATTATTTCTGCAGGCTGCAATACTGGTCCATTGGGTGCCATTTTTTGTGGGGTGGTTCTCCAGGTTTTTCCTGAGATATTAGGCTACAAATTCAGGCCATATAGTCCAAACCATCTATTGAAAATGAGTTGAAATAGGCTTTATCCCAGCTTTCCCATGCATCCAAAGCTATTTAATGATACATATCTTTCCCAATCCTTTCTATTAGAACAATATTCATCCAAATCAAACAAAACCACATCTATTGTGATGAAGTGGTCATAGAGAAGAAAAGAAAAGTGGAAATGCTTTCAGGTTTTTGCTAAGATTTCCAATTCCAAGTGGAGGCCAGATAGTCAACTCCAACCTTTAAAAATTGAGGGTTTTTTCATTCCTGAAAAGCCATTAATATAAATGCTTTCAATAATAGGTTAAATATATTTTGCCCAGTAGTCCTGCCTACTTACATAGCATACACATATAGTATGGCCAACAACACCATCATATAATCTCAATTTTCTTAAACAAGTGTTGTAATGAAAAAAGCAGACACTACAAACCAAAGTGTGGGAAATAATTCCCCACCCAAATGCGCAGTGTGCCTGACATCAGGTGTGTCAGAAAAAAGTGTAACGCTTTTCTTAATTAGGAAATAGTGTGCACATCATCATTAACAATGACCACACCATGCTAGCCATTAACTCCTCTAGCCCAAGAAGCGTGGGAAACAGTTCCCAGCCTAAATGTGCACTGTGCCTGACATCAGGTCTGTCAGAAAAAAGTGTAACGCTTTTCCCAATTAGGAAGTCGCCCAATTAGGAAATAGTGTGCACATCATTAACAATGACGACACCATGCTAGCCATTAATTCTTCTGGCCCAAAAAGCGTGGGAAACAGTTCCCAACCTAAATGCGCACTGTGCCTGACATCAGGTGTGGCAGAAAAAAATGTAATGCTGTTCCCAATTAGGAAATAGTGCACACATCAATGCATATACTACACATGGGTCAAACCCATTGGTAAATATCTGTCAACAAACATCCCAATGAGGGTATTCTGTCTACAAAATAATAGGTAAATCCCCTGTCCCCTATATTAAAAAAATCCCAAGTTTTTCTCTTAAATATAGGACCCCAGACACCCCTTGTGGCTGAAAAAATATATCCTTAGTCAACCCTAGCTGCAAAATATATGCCAAGTCCATCCCAGACAAGAAATATATTTCTACATTGTGACAGTCACAATTCAGGGTCCAGGCATAAGAAATATATTTGGAGTCCATTCCAGTGAGGAAATATATTTAGTGTGACATTGGACAACAAAATATATTTAGGTAAAAGTGGAGATATACAAGCCCAGAATATATACACTATAGATATACACCCTGACATTTAGTCCCGTAGTATTCATGGAGTTTGCAAGACTAACAGTCAGTTGTCAGTGGGTGACTGAAGTGGCAAAAACCTGAAAGCATTTCCACTTTTCTTTTCTTCTCTATGACCACTTCATCACAATAGATGTGGTTTTGTTTGATTTGGATGAATATTGTTCTAATAGAAAGGATTGGGAAAGATATGTATCATTAAATAGCTTTGGATGCATGGGAAAGCTGGGATAAAGCCTATTTCAACTCATTTTCAATAGATGGTTTGGACTATCTGGCCTGAATTTGTAGCCTAATATCACTTCAGTCACCCATTTTTGGGTACCTATGAGGTTATCCAATTCTTTGAATTAGGGAACCTTAGTGGTACCCATTCCAGAGTGGTATGACCCTCATACCAATTCCATCATACCATGGTATGGATGCCACATACCATTCCACCTCATACCATACCATACCATACCATACCATACCATACCATACCATACCATTC